GGACAGTGACACGGGTGTCACACGGGTGTCACACGGATGTGACGGTGCCATGGAGCTGGGACAGTGACACGGGTGTCACACGGGTGTCACATGGATGTGACGGTGACACGGAGCTGGGACAGTGACACGGGTGTCACACGGGTGTCACACGGATGTGACAATGACACGGAGCTGGGACAGTGACACAGGTGTCACACGGATGTCACATGGTGACATAGAGGTGACGGTGACACAGATGTCACACGGATGTGATGGTGACATGGAGCTGGGACAGTGACACGAGTGTCACACAGAGGCCACACAGAGGTCACATGGATGTGACGGTGACACGGAGCTGGGACAGTGACACGGATGTGACACGGATGTCACACAGATGTGACGGTGACACAGAGCTGGGACAGTGACACGGATGTGACACAGAGACAAGGATGTCCCAGGGTGTCACAGCTGGTGACACGGATGTCACACAAGGTCACACAAGGACAAGGATGTCACACAGTGCCACAGGATGTCACACGGATGTCACACAGTGTCACACGGTATCACAGCTGGTGACACGGATGTCACACGGGGACAGGGGTGTCACACAATGTCACACAGATGTCACAGCTGGTGACACGTCACACAGTGTCACACGGGGACACGGATGTCACACGGTGTCACAGGATGTCACAGCTGGTGACACGGATGTCACAGAGGGACAAGGATGTCACACGGTGTCATGCGGTGACACGGATGGTGACATGGATGTCACACGCTGACAAGGACATCACACGGTGTCACAGGGACACAGTGGGACACGGTGGCACGCGGATGTCACACAGGGACCTGGATGTCACACAGTGTCACAAGATGTCACACGGGGACACGGATGGTGACACCGATGTCACACGGGGACAAGGACCTCACACGGATGTCCCACGGTGACACAGCTGGTGACACGGATGTCGCACAGGGACATCACACGGTGTCACAGGGACACGGATGCCACACGGTGTCACATGGGGACGTCACACAGATGTCACACGGTGTCACATGGTGAAATGGATGTCACATGGGGACAAGGACGTCACACGGATGTCACACAAGGACAAGGATGTCACACGGTGTCACAGGGACACGGGTGTCACACGGTGACACACAGATGTCACACGGGGACACGGATGGTGACACCGATGTCACATGGGGACAAGGACGTCACACGGATGTCACACAACGTCACAGGATGTCCCAGCTGGTGACACGGATGTCACACGGTGCCCCCCGGATGTCCCCAGTTGTCCCCAGTTGCTCCCC